TTGTGCAAAACTCCGAGCTTCGCGCGGAGTTTTGCGGCAAGCGCCTCGCGGGTAGTCTACGGTCGCTGGGTTCTGGTCTCGTAACTTAATCATATCTCTATCATCGATGATTTGGGCATGCCTGGCTCCATCCGCAGCAACAAAAATCTTTACGGAGCCCATAGTAAGGAGCTCAAACAAACGGTCACAACTTGTCAACAGTCATAACTTTGTCAATTGTTATGACCGTTGATATAACTTTGTCATAACTTTGTCAACGGTCATAACTTGTCAATTGTCGACTTCCCATATGTCCACTTTCCAAATTTTCGGACACGGTATTGATATTATTGTATATGCTTATAACCAATAAGTCCAAAGGCCAAACTTTACAGTCTGAGGATCAAAACTGTATCCAAGACCAGTATTTATTTGTAGACTCAAAACCTTTATTCCCCAAAGCTCAAGAAAAAAAAATTTGTCTAGTCCAAAAAATTTGTCTAGTCCAAAGAGTTTGTCTGGCCCTCAAGACCATTATTAATTTCGTTAATTGATAATTTGTCATTTTTTAAAAAATAAAATAAAACTAGTTTTTTATACTAAAAATACTACAATGAATGAAATATAAAGAAGCTTACTACTACCGTAAATCCTCTTTTGATGACAATTTCTCTAATTTTTTAAATAGGTTAAGGGTAGCTCCACGAGCTTTGTGGGTCGGATGTATCAAGGATTGGGGTTTGGGATTTTGAAAAATTTGGGGCAAAAATTTTGACAATTTTGGGCTCAAAAAGCGCATTTCTTCCATTATTATAGGCAATTTTGAGAATTTTATGGAGCATTAGGAAAAAATTCGATTTTTCGACTAATTCTTTGCTGCATGCATTTAAAAAATTGCTACTTTTTCACTTATGATAATATTCAAAAATAAATTTACAATTTTAAGTTGAAATTAATTATCTCTATTTTTTATTTGTGGGAGAGAAAATAAAATGGATGTCGCATTCACCTGGATTGAAACTAACCGATGCTAAAGGGAAAACGATAAAACTTATGATTTAACCACTTATGTTTTTTGTCCAGAAGCATGTCCGGAGCTTTATACACTTCACTTCTGCTTACTGGGACTGGGAGCTACCCTAAAATAGATGCTTCTAGGTAGTACACGAGATTATTTTCAAAAATGCATATCGCCTAGATTTAGTAACAGCCTAGTACGAAAATCACTCTAGTAATGCAATTGCACTCAGAAAATGCATCCTAGAGATTGGACATAAGCTTGAAGTTGGGATATAATTAGAGGATTTACGTTTTCAAACTACAGTTTTAGAAAAAAATTTCTCTGGATTTCAATAAATCTCGTTTTACCTTTCTTCAAGGCTTCTTGAATTTGTCAACTTCATCAGTTATAACTTAATGATTGCTCCCACCTTTTAAATAAATATTATTTGAAGTTTAATTTTAATATTTTTATTTTATTTTTTAATCAGAATTTAATAAATCTAATTTTGTAAATTTCTTATTAAAAAATTCAAATTATTGAGGCCGGAATCCTCTATCGATAAAATTTATTTTTCAGTTTTTGAAACTTTTATTTACAGCGGAATGTGAAAAAGAACGAATAAAGCCAACATATGCTAAATAATGTTCTATTGTCGTTTTCAATTCTGACACTTTTTTCCTGGTTTAGCACTGTACTAGTTTGGTCCAAAGCAAGCGCTGATTACCCAGGTTTCAGAACAAATCGGGCAGTTTATTGAAAATAATTCAATATGTTATTAATTAGTTCATTCGTTACCATGGTACCGGTTTTTAGAAAGCGCAAATTTGAAGTAAAGAAATTAAATATAGATGATTAATATATACATTAGATCTAATAAAATATATAGATCTAATAAAAAAAGGTGAATTCTGATCAAGAGTGAGCTGAATTAACGTATCGTGCTTTTATTGAATAACAAAAAAGAAGGAAATATGAGCCGATCTCTTTCCATAGATTGTAGAGTGATTTTTGGGAATTTCGAACTTCTATAAAGAAGATGAACAAATTGATATGACTAGCTGTGGTCACTTCTACCATACGGATTGTATATTCGAATGGTTTGAAAAAGCCGGAAGTAACTTTGACAAATGTCCAAATTGCCGAGCTAAATTGAAAATTTTCATACATCCAGAGTTTGCTGAGTTAAATGATAATTTAAAGAATGTTGGACTTGGTCTTGAGATAGAAAAAATTAGTCGAACGAAATTGACAGATGCTCAGCTACGATTACTACCATTACTGACAGATGCTCAACTACAATTTCTCCTACAATTAGGTTATACAATTGAGTAAAAAATCTAAAATTTTAGAAAAAAACAAAAAATTCAAAAATCTACAAAACATCAAAAAACACACCTAATCCAAAAAAACTTTTATTTAAACTATCTATTTATTTTATTTTCTTACATATTTTCATCATCTGTACATTTGGGGTGCTTTAGTAAAACAAAAAAAATCCAAAACATCCTTAAAACATTAAAAATCACCACAAAACAAAAAAACCAAAAAAAAAACAAAAACAAAAAAAAAATCCCAAAAACTAAAAATCCAAAAAAACACAAAAATTTCAAAAAAATTCCCAAATTCCAAAAAAACTTTTATTTAATTCTATCTATTTAAAATCTATTTTTCTTTTCTATTTTCATTCTTTTGTAAATTTTAAATATTTAATCTTTTGTATAAATATGTAATTTCCGGGAATTATTTGGTGTATTTATATTTTTTTGTATTTATATTTTTGGTGATTAGTATGCTGTTAATAGCTCCCGGATAATCCGTCAGTGAATAAATTCGTAATTTCTACTCATATCCAACCTATGTGGCCAAAAATTTTCATTTTTTCTTGTGGAGGATTATAAGAGATATTTATTGAAGATAAGAGATTATTAAGAAAATCAGCGGATTTGGCTGAATTAAAAGAATATCAGTGGATTTGGGAGAAATCAGGCCCGCTCCCTCATCAATAGTTAGGCAGCCTTTGTGGCTAGTCATGTTTAACAACACTCTAAAAATCCTTGGCAACACTCTAAAAATTTAAAATGATTTAATAAGAGATTTAATTATGTTTACATTATTTTTGAAAAGAAAATTTTTACTTAATTACCACTTTGATTCGAACCTATCACCATAAAGATATGGGAGTAAAGAAAATCGCCTAAACCACTCAACCACACAATAATAGAAGTAAAATGAGAGAAATTATAAATATTTCATTCTCTTTTCCTAAAAAATTTATTATCAGTGTACTAAAGGTTAACACCGGAATACCAGACGGTTAGCACACCCGGATAACGATTTACCGTCTTTTTAGAAACACGTATACAGTAAACGTTTAATTTCGCAAAAACTCCATGCTAACATAACCGTTAGCGATTAACTGGTTTGGCTAAACCGTAATAATTACGATGGTAAATCAACATTTTTTAAACTTTTTTAATAATAAATACATATTTTATTGCTCAACATTGGAAACGTATTACGGAAAATATTTTAACTGTGGATTAAATTCCAAATATTATAAAGGTTTTTATATGGATAAATTCGACTAAAAATATTTTTGTTTAGATAGAAATACAAAAAGTTATAAAATAAATAAAATTTTATATACAGGGTGCGTAAAAAGATCCTTGCCCAACTCCTTTTTTCATAAAAATTTAATCGAATTGAATTTCATCAAATAAATTTACAAATACAATCAAAAGAATGTGTGTTACTAGAAAATTATAAAAGATTTTCAATGTTGTATTTAGTAGAGTTGGACAAGACGAGACCGATACCGAGACCGATACCGAGATTCTCAGCTTTTTTCCAATATCGGTCTCGGTTTTTTCATTCTCGGTCTCGAAACCGATACCGATATTCTCGGTCCATTTCTCGGCGAGAAACTTTACTGACTCAAAGAAACATAATCCTCAATATTGTCCAAGATTTCGTCCATAATTTTTTTCGGATATGCGTCCATAACAGAGAAAGTGCTTTGTTTTTGAATAAGGTCTTATAAAATTCAAAAATTTTCGCCTGCGGCGCTGAAAATTGGAAGAAATGTGTTGACTTGCATTTCTAGTGTGATTTTAACAATTTTCATGTGATTTTAACAATGAAAGAGCTATTTCTTCTGCTTTAAACACTCCATAAGCTTAATCTGAAAAGATATTTATTTAATTCTGCATAGAATTTAAAAAAAATTGTTATTTTAAAGACTTAAATAATATTTTTTTAACTTTAAATAGAAAAATATTGTTGCGGAACTGTATATTTGAATTATATAAATCCTAATATTTGGAAATTTTCTTATATTTACATTTTATCGGAATCCTCCTAATCAATACTACACAATAATCGTCAGCAAATCGTATATTTAAAGCTGTAAGCTCGCAGGTTTGATTCAGTCTCAATTCATATTAACCCACTTTACTCTCAAGTTCAAAATAGGAAAAAAAATAAATTTACTAATTTAAAATAAAATCAAAGTTTAAAAACAATTATTTTTGAAAAGAAAATTTTTTAGTATAATTACCACTTCCTTATTCGAACCTAACACCATAAAGTTATGGAAGTGAGAACAAAAAGTTATATAAATAAATAAAATTTTATATAGAGGGTGCGTAAAAAGATCCTTGCCCACACTCTTTTCTGCATAAAAATATAATCCAATGGAATTTTATCAAATAAATTTACAAATACAATCAAAAGAATGTGTGTTAATAGAAAATTATAAAAGATTTTCAATGTTGATTTAGACACCTAAATTCTGAGTTACATGGTTTTTCTAGTATATGTAGCTTATAATATACAAAATGATTATACATAAACAAATACAAAAATGTTTACACCAGATCTGGCATATTTTCAAGCTTATTTGGCGATTTTTAGTTACGTATCAATGTAAGAGCATATTTTGCGATTCTTAGTTCAACATAAAAATCCCAGCCCTGCCCACAAAATTTGTACATAATATAAAAATAACTACACAAAAACTTCATTCCTCAAGATTATGTTCAATAAAATTTTTAGTTGAATTCTCCTCAAGTAATTTTAGTTGATTTTTAATTGCTTTCTCTTGTTTAGCTGCCGGATTATATTTTTTTATTATTTCAAAATTTCTGTGATCATTTTTTAGGGATTTGCTTTTTTTAATATTTGTCTTTTTATCAAACAAAAATTCTGGTTTGAATTGAATATTTAATTTTTTAAAATATTCAATAATTTCTGTATAGTGTTTATATTCCTTTCGAATTTCTGGCTGTTCACAAACTCCACGAGCTTTTAATATTGAATCAAAAGAAAGTTTTTTCAATTCAACTGTTGACAGATATAAGTTCTAAAATTTTTAGTTTTGAATAATAAAATTGAAAAAATTTTTCGTTATTCATTTAATTAAGGAAAATTTGGCCATAAAGCAGGCTAGTCCTTATCACATTCATATGATCAGTTTCAATATTACAAAGAACATCTCATAAAGATTATCTAGGAGGTTGTCCAACTAGATGTAAGAGACTAGCTCAGAGAGATTATCTAACAGCCATTATCTAATTTTAAGATAGCCACTAGTTTATCCTCGTGAAATTATTAGTAAACAAGTATGCGGATATGATTTATGGAATATGCAAAAGGAGATCACTTATTTTCCAGTCAGCTAAGGGTTAAGACCATTGTATCTTAAAGCCAAGAGCTGTATAATGCCCACTGTTAACGATCTGCCTCTTCCTTATCTCGGCATACTTCATTTATTCTGAAGCTCACACAAATCTAATTTAACACCTACCCACATCGAGGCACTAAGTTATGGCTAACCGCTTTAATTTAAATATTTAGACAAACGAACATGTGGGTTTTTAATTTCGTCAGGCACTCCTTTTGAGGAATCTTTGAAAATATTATTCTTATGATATTTATTTGTCAATTTCTTGTTCAAAAAGTCACACATTTTGGTAAATTCCTGATAATTTACCAAATATTCCATTGCTGTTGGATTTAATATTTTAATTTCTTCTATTTGTTTGATCAATTTTTCCTGGTTTTCATCAGAAAAAATATTATGTTTAAATAAACTATCTAAAAATTCTTCAATGCCTGCTTGCTCTCTCAAATCATTATCCACTTCCTCTACCTTTATTTGTGAGGTTGAAGCTTCTTGGGTAATTTCGGAAGTTAAAGTTTTCTTGGTAGGTGTAGTACATGTAAACGGCAGTCGGGAATATAAAAACAATAGAATGATTAATTTTGCAAATAAAATCATTTTGTGATAAAGAATTTCTATAAATTTTAGAAAGATGTAGATAGATCCTCACTATAATATTCTTTCAATATATCAAGTTAGGACCTATTTTTTAATGTTTAATTGACTACTCGGAGCCTTATTATATTATAAATGTTTTCCTCTCCACAAATGTTTATGAATTGGGATCTCGATAATTCGTCATCATCTGGACTGAAAAGCCGACATAATTGAGATAGACTACTATTGTAGGTCAAATCTCTTTAAAATTTACTAGGGAATGCAGACTTTGGTTATCGGTTTTGGGATATCCTCGGATCCCCAGACATTTTTCCGTTTTGGATAAACGGTAACGTCTTCTTTAATGCAAACATATTAAAAAGACAGAGGTCTAAAAGAGATTTGGTATCACGATTCTTCTATCGCGGAAATAAAAAAACAGAAAGTTAAATTTTGTAATAAAATATATTAATTGAATAATTTTTATATATAATTTAAAATAAAAAATTTTTTCTTAATGCCCTTTGAATTTTTTAAAGCTTTTATTGCCTTTAAAATTTAAACGGATTCTATAATTAAATAGTCAGACAATGGAACTGGCTAAAAGTGCAATCGCGTGTTTCGACTCGAGGCGATGGATGTATAGACAACAATGCAAATCACGCTTCAATTAAATAAATTCTAGACAGAAAATTAATTTTAATAGACGCTTTAAATAATTTATTTCCTTGTTTAAATAAAATATTAAATATAAATTCCACTTTTAAATTTTTACTGGAATCGCTATTTTTTAAATTGAAGGCAAAAATTATTGTTTAGTTCAAATTTTCACGAAGTTTCCCTCTTAAAAAACAGAATTCGGAACAAAAGTTTGTTGTGACAAAAGTTAATTGTGATCAAAAGTATGGTGTAGCTAACTTATAAAAAGATTTGGAGGGAGTTCCATTAATGACATATGTTGATGACTACTTTCCAATAAAAAAGTCCATTTTTACTTTGTAGGATAAGCATTATAATGTCATTAAAATGATCACTTCCGAGAGATAAGTAGCTAAGGTATTTACCCAGAAGCAACGATATTTTTATTTTTTAGAAAATGTTTTTTTTAAAAAAGAAATTGTTTATAAATTTTTTCATTACAAATTCAACATTGTTTGGTCGTGCTCAATAATTTTGAAAATTTTCTCAAAAATTATCTCACACTTTGTACTTTAATTAAAATTGTTTTTTGTATCTAAACTTTAATAATACTCAATGAATTTTAATACAGGGTGACTAGAAAGTCTTTGCCCGCACCTTTTTTATCATAACTTTATTAAAACTCAATCAAATAATATCAAAATACAATCAAATAATAGAGAATTAAATGGGGGACAAAATAAATCAGGATTTTTAGAAATACCCCCCTTTGGCTTTAAGATAGAGGCCCAGACGCGAGCAAAAATTTTTGCAATATTGCCGCACCTATTATCCTGTGATTTTTTCCAATTTCCGAACGAGTGATTGTCGGAGTGACTCCAAACTTTGGGGTTATTAAGCAAAGAACGTTGCCTCCAAAATTGATCAAAAAGATAAATCCAAGGATTCAAACCCGGTGTGTACGGTAGCCATTTTTGAGGCACACTAAAACCGAGAAAATTGGCAACAGACAACCTTGCATCACTTTAGCCCTATAATCAGGGGATGAATTCTACTTATAGATCCCGTTCCTATACCAAAAGTTTTCCCAGACCCAGTGCTCTAAAACGTACTGAAGGATTTCGAGTAGATCAAAGTTTGCGATTCGCACATGTCTCTTTCATAAAAATTTTGGCATCTGAAAAGAGGAACCAAAGAGGTGCGGCAATTTTGCAAAAATTTTTGTTTGCGTTTGCGGCTCTATCTTAAAGCTCAAGGAAGTTATTTCGAAAAATCCTGATTTATTTTGTTCTCCATTTAATTCTCTATTATTTGATTGTATTTTGATCTTATTTGATTAAGTTTTAATAAAGTTATGCTAAAAAATGTGCGGGCAAAGAATTTTGAGGCACCCTGTATAAAGCTGAGCCCCCATTAATGTTGCAACACCAATACAATTTCATCTTTTAGCATTTTTGTTTATATTTATTTTCATATTTTACAAACAAATTGTTTCCTCTTTAAAATTTAAATATTGCATTGCATACATAAATTTTATTGTATATTATTAGAAAAAAGTAGTAAATAATTATATTATATGGTAATAAAATATTTTTTATTATATAATTTTATTATCAATTTTATTAGCAAAACAAAAACATCTTTATTAATTTCAATAATTATTAATTTATTAATATCATCTTTATTAATTTCCTTTATCTTAATTGTTTATTATTAAATTGTTTATTATTAAATTACTAGTAATTTTATTATTAAATACAACTAATTTATATTTTTTATTTCATAAATTTTTTCGATTATCGTACAAAATAGCAGTGCCTTATATCGGATATATATTTTTATATACATATTTATAAGAAAATATATATTATATCAATTTATATTCGATTGATAGATCTTATAATATATTATATCAATTAATAAATCAATTAATATAATGTAATTAAGAATTATAATAAAAATAGATAATTATATGTTTATTTATAAAATATATAATTTTTAAATTTATAATTTAATGTGTGCGACATCAACGCTTTTTATATTATTATATAACTAAAGATTTGGCTTAGTTTTTATTGTTCACGATCTCTTTAGGTAAATATTTCCATGTAGTTCTAGTGTCTTGAAGTTTTTTAAAATATAAAGTCCCAGCCGTCTTGGTTATGAAAAGAAATTGTGTAGCAGCTTTTTATAAATTATATGAAAAAGGTCTTAAATAATCAATTTTGTTGAAGATGAATATAATTTTGTATGAATATAATTTTCATTTTTCATAAAATAATGTCTTTGTACACTTTGAAATTTGATTAATTGCTATCAGTAGATTAATATTTGTATTTTTCAATTAATTATAAAATATTAACTTATGCTTTATATTATATTTTATTAAAATAATTTGACCGAATATCAAATAAATATACATATTTTATAATTATCGGAGTGCTTGAAGATTTCATCATATTTTATTCAACCTATTTTCTATATTTCAAATTCCTCAATCGAGCAGTAAACAGTAATGCATTTTCTCTTATAATATTTACTTTTTAATCATTAATGATTCTATTCAACATAAAAATATTATTCTATACTTATGCACATAATTTATATTAGAAAAATAAATTATGAGATTAACTGCTTAAAATCTATCAAATTTTAAATTATGTGCAAATTATAGTATTTTTACAATCATTTAATAGAACTAAAGCAAAATAATGGTTTCAGACTAAGGCAATTCTTTATTTAATAACAAAATCAAAATAGTTATTAACTACTATATATGGTATTTAAATATAATTGAAAATTTTCTTTGCAATTTTTTAATTACCGTATTTTTCAATCAATTAAATGATAAACAAACTCTGTACAGCATATTATTTAATATTGTTTAGTTTTCAAATTTATTTTTCAAATTTTTTGTATCTGAAAAAAAACAAATTATTTTACACTTTAGTTTATCTTGTTACTCAGTTTTCACCACCCAAAATATTTAAACTTAATGAAATATATTTTCTAGAATAAGGCTGAAATAAACCGACCCCCTAGAGGGTTCATCTTTAAAGAACTTGACTTTTTCAAATCAGGATATTTGGTCTGCTACCCTTATTCAGACATGATTTTCTGCAAGAAGAGGGTGCACTATAGTGTAGGGTTGTCGTTCCAGATATCTGGATCTGAAAAAGCCGGATAGCCAAAATTTTAGGTCAGATATCGGATCCGGATCTTGATATCCGAAGTTCTCCAACTATCCTACATCTTCTATAGTGAGGTCCGGCTTTAGTTTTTCATAATTATTAATGATAGTGGCGGCACAAAAGTCGTCCGGCGCAAAAGTCGCGGCGTAAACGTCGCCCGGCGCAAAAGTGGCGCGGCAAACGTCGCCCGGCGCAAAAGTCGCGGCGCAAATTTCCCCCGGCGCAAAAGTCGCTCGGCGCATAAGTCGCGGCGCAAAAGTCGCGGCGCATAAGTCGCGGCGCAAATGTTCTCTAGAGATCGAGATTTTTGAAAAGCCTGGGCCTGTTTCTTGGTTCCGGGTTTGATCTATTGACCTGGGCCAGATTCTGGGCCTGTAGTCCAGGAAAAACCCAGACCCAGGAAAAACCCAGGAATTTTTTTACCTGGGCCCAGGCCTGGATTCCTATGTTTTTTAGATTTTTAATAAATTATCAAATTTCAATTAAATTGCAATAATATACAAAGGAAATAAGAGGTATATCGAGGGATTTAAGGGGATTTTAAAGGATTAAGGAGAATAGGTGTGAAATAAGGTGGATATCAAAGTGATTTAGAGGGATTAAGACGGATATTGGTGATTTGGGTATTAGTGTAATATCAAGGGATTTTCGGGTATTAAGTAGGCTTAAGTTGGATATTGGGAGATTTTTTCTGGCATATTGGGGATATTAGAGCATCTAGAGGATACGAAATTTATCTTAATCCACCTAAACAGACCGAAATCCCCCTATATACTCCTTAACCCACACCGTCCTTCTATATGCACATATATATTCCGATATCCCTCTTGATGCTCACAAATCCTCTGATATCCATCCCATATATCTCACAATATCCGTCTTAATCCCCAAAATCCCTTGATGTCCCTCAAAATCCTCCAAATCCACCATATGCCTTACTCCCTTTAAATCTTTCTACATATATCCCTCTAAATCTACGGATATCCTTCTGATCGAGCTAGGTCTCAAGAATCAAAGCTCGTTTCTTGGCAATTTTACTTGAACGATATCAGGAGATTCAGTGGTATATTTTTCCATTTTCAGCGCCTCTGACGAAAATTTTGAGAATGTTGGAAAGCCAAAAAAGCCTGAATTCTTCCATTTCCAGCGCCGCAGGCGAAAATTTTAGAATTTTCTTAAAGCTCAAGTGAC